TATGTGGGGAAAAGTCTGATAAACGAAAATGTTAATAGTGTTGATATTTCTAAGGTGGAGATCATAAGAGATTTAGATTTTCTTATTTTTCTTTTTCTATGTTTTCTATAATGAACACGTATTATTTTTTAATCAAAGGGAAAATAGGAATATTTTGGATAGAAAATTCTTAGTCTAGATTGAAGATCGTTATGGCAATCTCTCTTTACAGAATAGAGCTAACTTGGCTTCTCATATATCTCCCACGAGTACAGAAATTATCTTGATGAAGAGGGTCCTGCTAAGCCAGAATCTGAACTTGCTGGAGTAGAGGACTACTGCAAGGATCTCCAGCAAGATCTGACAAAGAACTGAAGAGAAAATAAGAAATAGGTCTGACAGCATGGGAGATAGTCCTCTCTAAATGAGAAAGTTAGGCTGACATGTACATTTAGTGATATTTCAGGAAAATTGGCTGTAGGCTGAAGCTGGACAGAGGAACTCTAGCCCCTATAACCCTCTGCTTGTCCCATCTTATTTGAATAATTTCAGAAAGTTGGTTGCACTGTAATCTAGAAAAACTAAAATTTAGGGTTTTCTCTTTGTAAGCTTATCAAGTATTCCTAGAGTTTTACTTGACTTCAACTCAATGGGGTGTTAGTTTCTGAAACCCCAGCAATTCCCCATAGTAAATAAATACATGACAGCTTTTCTCTCATTTGCTACCCAAGTTCCTAACGAAGCCCTTGGGACAAGCTCTAGGATTCTCTCATCCTTCCCTCTTAATACCCTAGAGGGATTTTAGAAGGGATGGGCGCAGGGGACTTGGGACAAAGGGATTTGCTTCTCTTGGGGAAAATAAATATCCAAAGCTCCTGAAATCTGGAGTTTAAGAGACTGATATTTTTTTTTCCCTGGGACACTTTTTAAGCCAAAGAAACCAATGCCCCAAATGTCAAGGAATATAGCAATAATTCGAGGTTCTTTTTCTCATACTAGAGAGAGCTGAATTTTCTTTGTTTTCTGGATTTTGGCGTCCCACAACAAGGTGTTTTCATGGGCTTCCTCTGAATAGACCTAACCCCTTCAATTCTTTTTAAAGATCACTATCTGGAAAGTGACCCTCTTTATTGCCAAGGTCAGAAGCAATGAGTGGCTAGCTATCGGCAGAACTACATTAAAATGGAATGCCATGTATATTTTTCAAAATCTTATTATTTATTGCTCTATGGTTTTCAGTATTTGTTTTGTTGTATTGATACTCTTGTCTATTAATATTATATTTTTTTATGCTCATCTTGCTGTGGTAATGAATTCAAGGACATGAAATTTAGCAGACATGATAGCGATCTTCAAATATTTTAAACACTATCTGGTTGAAGAGGAAATACAGGTAGGAAAATGTGGGGAGGTGGCAAATTGCAGGGAGACAGATATTGAGTCAATAGAAAGTAACAATTTGTAAGAATTAAGGCGATTTGAAAATAGAATTAATTGTATGCACCCTTGAAAATGAAGAGTGAGATAGATTTATAGTACCGTTATAAAGTATTCAAGGTATGATATTAAGTGAACAAAGCTAGTTGTGAATTTGTATGTGCTAATTCTATTAGTATAAAATTGAAATGAAAAGGAAATATGCATAACTATATATGGAAATTTTCTAGGTAGAAATAAACAATTTAAAAAATAAAAAATATGAATTATGTTTACTTCTGGACCAGAGAATGCAAAGTACAGAAGGAGAAAACTAACTTTTCCATTTATACTCTACTGTATAGATGGCTTTTTTTCCTCTTAAGCATTTTTATAACATAAAATATCTACTTTTATTTATTTATTTTTTTATGCCTACAGCACCTAGTCTTCCTAGGTGGTCTTCCATCCAAGTACTAACCAGGCCCAGTCCTGCTTAGCTTCCAAGATCAGATGGTATCGGGTGTGTTCAGGGTGGCATGGCCATGGACTACTTTTATTTTTTTTTAAGTAAACTTAGTATCTTAAAAAAAAAAGAGGGATGCTAACTTGTAAGATAATAAATTTCCAATCATTGGAAGCACTGAGGCAGAAATTGTGAGAAATGTTGGGCTTTTAAAATTACCTCCTAACTCTAAGTTTCTATGATTCAGTTGTATTTAAAGGACTTAAAGCTATGAAACATATGAGTTTTTCCAGCGCTTGCTTCCAGTTGGAAAAACTTGAATAATAAAATGGGTAAGATTAACTCCTTGCCCAGGATTGGTTGTCAGGTCTAAGTAGAAAATAATTTCATTAGAAGGAAATATTTTTACCTTTTTTTAGGATGGAGAGATTTTGGGGGTGGTGAGGGTAAAGAGGCAGAATCCAAGGAAAACAGAAAGTGGTGTAAAGTGTCGCTTTCTTTCAGGTACTTGGATTCCACAGATGGAGGTTGTCATTTTGTTTCAGCAATCATTATCTTACTACCCTAGTGTTATCACTCATCAAGTCTTTGCCATTTGATGAGTCAGTTTTCCTGAGGGGTGATGAGAGAGGAGAGAGAATTGCAGTATCGCACAAGTTCAATTCAATCTTTTCTCTTGTACACCCTAGCTTAGTTTTTCCATTCTGATTGATTTTCCACTTACATAAGATTTTAGTTTTATTTTGTTTAGTAATAAATCATGAATCCCAGTTAAACAGCAATATTTAAAGACTAGCTTATCTTCACATCTCTGAGAAAATTAACATATATTTTGCTCTACATTTTCTCTATGTTTTGAAATATTTTATACTTTTCTTTTCCTCAAAATCTTTAATAAGGAAATTCCAAAATCTGTTCTCATCCTACCACTTTCATTCCACTGTAGCAATAATCAAAATTGACCATGTCATTATTTAATATTTTAATATTTTGTTCATGAACTTTTGCATTAATTTTCAAAAATATTGCATTAAAACTATATTCATCTTATTTACTATTTTGGTTTTCTCTTAAATTTTGCACTCAAATGAATACCTCACTTGCCACTCTGTACTTTCAGCACTATTTAAAAAGTTTTCCTTTTTACCAACTACAATCTTTCTTTAAAAACTAAAGTTAATTTCCTCTGCATGTGGCCCTTGGGTGCTCAAATTTTTATAAAATGCCTACAACGTCAATTTTCTTTTTTCCAAGGTAAATTAAGCCCCTACTTTCACTTTTTCGCCTTAAATTTCTTTGCAATCTCATTATAGAGTTTCACTTTGGGGTAGAATTATAAAATTCAGCTTTGTGTTTAAAAGAGAATAATTAAAAAGAAAGTCTGTATTGTATAGAAAGCATAAAGAGGAAGATAATTTAAGATTCTCCATTCACTACCCAGGAAAAAAAACAACAAAAAAAAACTGTTTAACATTTTGATATATTTCCTTCTAGTCTTTTTAAATGGCTGGTATGCCATTGAATGTTTTTCCTTATTCTTTCATTCCTTCTTTTTTCTTTTTTTTTTCTATTTTTACAAAATTGTGGTCTATCTATGCATCTCATTTATCTCTTTGTGTATGTGTGTAACTATGTGTGTATGTATGTATGTATGTATGTATGTATGTATGTATCCATTTGTATCATATTTTTCCCTATCCACACTTTAGAGATGTCTAATGGCTTCAATGTTTCCATCAGATAGATGTTATAATTTATTTAATCATTCCTTTATTCATTTACATTATTTCTGGTCTTCATCATTAAAATAATATTATAAAAACTTCCTATACACACATTCTGATATATACCTCTAATTGTCTCCTTAAAATAGATAATTGGAAGTAGAAATATTAAACCAAGGAGATTGGGCATGTGTTGTCACTAATATACCAATATTTTATCTACTTATCTATATAAACATCTTAAAATTTTTCCAGTTTTCTCAATGTTTTCCAGTTTTTAATGTGATCTTATTCCCAGAGTAAGAAAAATGTATTGTCTTGTCAATAAAAGCCAAAAAATAAAGAATTTTCTTTCTTATCCGTTTTGTGGAGATGATGCTTCTCAAGCATTTCGGGGTAGGACAAATCACACTGGCCTTAGTATTAAAAAGTTGGATCTATAACTTTTTAAATTTTGGATAAATCACCTAACCCTAGGTGTCTCAGGTTTCCCATCTACAAGATTGAGATAATTACCTAACACACGGTATTGTTATGCTGCTAAATAATATACATAAAAACACTTTATAAACTAAAAAGTGCAGTAAGTATTGTTGTTGTTGTTAACCATTATTATTCAATTTTTTTTTTTTTTTAATGAGAGCTTTGTGATCTTCACTTACCTCCTAGATAGGGGTTAGAAGGAGAGATGTGCAGACTGGTTTCCTCAAAGATACCCAGTTAATAATTCTGAAGAAATTAGAAAAAAAGAGTTCAGAGTCTAGTAGTGAGTCAGACATCCTGTGAAAATTCACATGTAAGCACAAGATAGAAAACACAGAGAAATACACACAGTTCACTAAAACTAGTTACAGAGCAACATTTAGCAATTCAAGCACACTATAGAAGGCTTGTATTGATAAGTTGTATTTAGTTCTGAGAAGACTTACTGAGCAAGAGGAGACTTGAGTTAAGTATTGAATAAAGAGAGGAACATGATTCATTAAGAAGCAATGTGGGGGAGATACCTGTCAGGTGTGAAGCTATTGAATAATTTTTGAAAAGAATTGATAAAAGATGCAGACAAGTGGAACAGGGAGAAAGCAAATACTTCTCTCTTGTGTGTCAACTTAGAAGAGAAGATGTTTAAGAAGGTGATCAATATTGTGCTTTAAACAAAGTGGAAAAAGTGAGCAAATTTGTTTTAGGTAAACAAAACTCTGAAACTGTAAATGGGCATACATAAAATTATTTCCTGATTGTTTATTTTATTTTACCTGTAGGTGAAGAGTAGTCTCCATTAACCTGGTATTGACTCAAAAGCAGATCTTTATTATCTTCTTCTTCTTCTAGAGTTCTCCTGCTCAAAGCATTGGGCATTCATTTATTCTGATTGATTGGCCTAAGTCTCCAGCTTTTAGACCTGGAATTTATCAATGAAGAGAGAGAATCATACAGTGGTGAGTGAATTTGTTTTCCAGGGTTTTCCCAGCTTTTGTGAACACAAACTCACCCTCTTCGCGGTATTTCTTATCTTGTACCTTTTAACCCTGGCTGGCAATGTCATCATTGTGACAATTATCAGCATTGATCGTCACCTTCACACCCCCATGTACTTCTTTCTTAGTATGCTTTCCATGTCAGAAACCATGTACACATTGGTCATTGTACCACGAATGCTCTCCAGCCTCATAGGTCTAAGCCAACCCATCTCTTTGGCTGGCTGTGCCACCCAGATGTTCTTTTTTATCACCTTGGCCATCAACAACTGCTTTCTACTCACAGCAATGGGGTATGACCGTTATGTGGCCATCTGTAACCCCTTGAGATACACAGTCATTATGAACAAGAAGGTGTGTGCCCAGCTAGTATGGGGGACCTGCAGCATTGGGCTGCTTGTGGCCATAATTCAGATTTCCTCTGTGTTCAAACTGCCCTTCTGTGATAGAAAAGTGGCCCATTATTTCTGTGACATCCGCCCAGTCATGAAACTCTCCTGTGCTGACACCAATCTACATGACATAATTAATATTATTGTCAGTTCACTCGTTATCGTGGTGCCCATGGGTTTGGTCTTCATTTCCTACATCCTTATCATCTCTACCATCCTTAAAATTGCCTCAGCTGAGGGCCGAAAGAAGGCTTTTGCAACTTGTGCCTCCCACCTCACTGTGGTCATTGTCCACTATGGTTGTGCCTCCATTGCTTACCTCAAGCCCAACTCAGAGAACACTAGGGATCAGGATCAGCTGATCTCAGTGACCTATACCATTTTTACTCCTCTCCTTAATCCTGTGGTATACACTCTGAGGAACAAGGAAGTCAAAGATGCCCTTCACCGCGCTTTTGGTAAAAAACCTCTTGCCTAAGATCTCAGGTAGTTTGACATATTGCCTATTACACTCTGAATATTTTTGTAATCTCAAAAAATTTGATTTTTTTGCATGTATCTGTCAAGTTTTCCCAACATCATATATTGAAGAGACTATTTTTTTTCCTCATTGTATATTCTTATCATAGATTAATTGACCATATAGGCATGGGTTTATTTCTAGGCTCTCTATTCTGTTCCACTGATCTATATGTCTGTTTTTATGGCAGTATCATGCTGTTTTGATTCCTATAGCCTTGTAGTATAGTTTGATATCAGGTAGCATGATACCTCTAACTTTGTTCTTCTTCCTCAAGATTGCTTTGGCTATTCAAGGTCTTTTGTGGTGTCATATAAATTTTGGGATTATTTGTTCTAGTTCTGTGAAAAATGCCATCTGTACTTTGATAAGGATTATATTGAATCTATAGATTTCTTTGGATAATGTGTATATTTTAGCAATGTTAATTACTCCTATTCATAAGCATGGTATATGCTTCCATTTACTTGTATATTCTTTAATTTCTTTCTTTAATGTTTTATAATTTTCTGAGCACAGGTTTTTTAACTCCTTGATTAGATTTATTTTAGATTTCTTTTTCTTTTCTGTGCAATTGTAAATGGGATTCTTTCTTTTTTCATGCTTTGTATTTTTAAATGTATTTATATAAATTAGTTTCAAGTATACGATACGTTGGTTTGACATCTATATAGTTCATAAAACGATCCCCCCATCTGCTCCCTCCCTCCCCTGGCCCTCCCCCTAGCCATTATATGAATGCTAACTGCACACTCTATGCTGTGCTCTCCATCCTCATGACCAACTATCAACTACCAATTTGTACTTCTTTAACCCTTCACTCCATTCTCCCAGCCCCCCAACCACACCTTCCCTCTGTCACTATATTTGTGAGTCTGTTTTTAATAAGTTTGTTCTTTTTATTCCTTAGATTCCTCATGTAAGTGAAATTATATGGTATTTATTTTTCTCTGTCTGACTTATTTCATTCAGCATAATAACCTCTAGGTCCATCTATGTTGTTGCAAATGGTAGGATTTCAATTTTTTGTAATGGCTGAGTAATATTCCGTTGTATATATGAACCATAATTTCTTTATCCAATCATCTGTTGATGGGCATTTAGGTTGCTTTCATATCTTGGCTATTGTAAATTGTGCTGCCATGAATATTGGGGTGCATGGATCTTTACAAATTATTGTTTTGATTTTCTTTGGATAAATACCCAGCAGTGCACTTGCTGAGTCAAAAGGTATGTCCATTTTTAATTTTTTGAGTAACCTCCATACTGTTTTCCACAGCAGCTGTACCAATTTGCAATCCCACCAACACTGTATGAGGGTTCTATTTTCTCAGCATTCTTGTCAATAATTATTGTTTCTTGATTTATTGATGATAGCCATTCTGACAGGTGTGAGATGATGTCTCATTGTGGTTGTAATTTTCATTTCTCTGATGATTAGTGACTTTGAGCATCTTTTCATATGTTTATTAGCTATCTGTATTTCCTCTTTGGAGAAGTGTCTGTTCAGGTCTTCTGCCCATTTTTTAATTGAATTGTTTTTGTTGTTGTTGTTCTTAGGTTGTATAAGTTCTTTATATATTTTGGATATTAACCCCTTATCAGATGTATCATTAACGAATATCTTCTCCCAGTTGGTTGTCTTTTTGTTGTGTTGATGTTTTCCTTTGCTGTACAAAAACTTTTTAGTTTGATGTAATCCCATTTGTTTTTTGTTTGTTTGTTTGTTTGTTTCCCTTATTCGAGAAGATATATCTGAAAAGAAATTCCTGTTAGTAATATCAGACAGTTTACTACCTATGTTTTCTTCTACAAGTTTTATGGTTTCAGGTCTTATATTTAAGTCTTTAATACATTTTGAGCCTATTCTTGTATACGGTGTAATAAGGTGGTCCAGTTTCTTTTTTTCTTTTTTCTTTTTTTGCATGTATCTGTCCAATTTTCCCAACATTATTTATTGAAGAGACTGTCTTTACCCGATTGTATATTCTTACCTCCTTTGTCATATATTAAGTGAGCATGTAGGCATGGATTTATTTCTGGGCTCTCTATTCTGTTTCATTGATCGATATCTGTTTTTATGTCAGTACCATTCTATTTTGATTACTGTAGCCTTGTAATATAATTTGATATTAGGTAGTGTGATACCTCAAACTTTGTTCTTCTTTCTCAAGATTGCCGTAGCTATTCAGGAAATTTTAGGATTATTTGTTCTAGCTCTCTGAAAAATGCTCTCAGTAATTTGATAGGGATTGCATTGAATTTATAGATTGCTTTGGGTAGTATGGCCATTTCAACGATGCTAATTTTTCCTACCCATGCTTCCATTTATTTGTATCCTCTTCAATTTCTTTTTTCAATGACATAATTTTCTGAAAACAGGTCTTCTACTTTCTTAATTAGATTCCCAGGTAGTTTATAGTTTTTGATGCAATTGTAAATGGGATTATTTTCTTAATTTCTTTTTTGAAAGTTCATCATTAGTGTATAAAAATGCTATTGACTTCTGACTATTTATTTTGTAACCTGCTAATTTACTGAATTAATTGATAATTTTTAACCATCTTTTGGTGGAATCTTTAGGGTTCTTTCTATATAATATGTCATAGGCAAATAACGAGAGTTTTACTTTTTCTTTTCCAATTTGAATGCCTTTTATTTCTCTTTCTTGTTTTATTGCTGTGGGTAAGACTTCCAATGCAATGTTGAAGAGGAGTGGTGAAAGTGGGTATCCTTGTCTTGTTCCTGATCTTAAGGAAAATCTTTTAGCCTTTCCCCATTGAGTATGATGTTACCTGTAGGTTTGTCATATATGGACTTTATTATTTTGAGGTATGCTCCCTCTCTTCCCATTTTGCTGAGAGTTTTTATCATAAATGAATGCTGGACTGTGTCCAACACTTGTCTTGCATCTATTGATATGATCATATAATTTTTATGTTTCATTTTCTTTATGTGGTGTATTACATTAATTGAGGTGTATGATATTTTTAATGTATTGCTGAATTCAATTTGCTAATATTTTGTTTAGGATTTTTGCATCAATGTTCATAAGAGATATCATCCAATAGTTGTTTTTTTTTTTTGTAATGTCTTTGTCTGGTTTTGGAATCAAGGTAATGGTGGCCTCATAAAAGAAGTTAGGGAGCCTTCCCTCTTCTTGAATATTTTGAAAGAGTTTGAGAAAAATAGGTGATAATTCTTCTTTGAATGTTTGGTAAAATTCACCTATAAAGCCATCTGGTCCAGGACTTTTGTTTTTTGGGAAGTTTTTATTACTGATTCTATTTCATTGGTGGTAATCGTCGATTCAGATTTTCTGTTTCTTCTTGATTCAGTCTTGGGAGAGTGTATGTTTCTAGGAATGTGTTCATTTCTTCCAGATTATCCAGTTTGTTGGCATATGGCATATAATTACTTGTAGTATTTTCTTATGATCCATTGTATTCCTGTGGAGTCTGTGGTAATTTCTGATTTTATTGATTTGAGTCCTCTCTCTTTTTTCCTTGATGAGTCTGGCTAAGGATCTGTCAATTTTCTTTATCCTTTCAAAGAACCAGCTCTTGGTTTTATTAACCTTTTGTATTGTTTTTCTAGACTCTATTTCATTTATTTACAGTCTAATCTTCATTATTTCCTTCCTTCTATTCTCTTCAGGCTTTGTTTGCCCTTCCTTTTCTAGTTCTTTTAATTGTAAGATTAGATTGTTTATTTGAGCTTTTTCTTGTTTCTTGAAGGAGGCTTCTATTGCTATGAATTTCTCTCTTAGAACTGCTTTCGCTGTGTCCCTTAAATTTTGAGTTGTATTTTCACTTCGTTTGTCTCTAGGTATCTTTTGATTTCTTCCTTGCTCTCATTAATAACCCACTCATTTTTTAGTAGCATGTTATTTAGCCTCCATGTGTTTGTATATTTTCCAGTCTTTTTCTTCTCGTTAATTTCTAGTTTCACACCATTTTGATTGGAGAAGACAGTTGATATGATTTTAATTTTCTTAAATTTATTGAAACTTGTTTTGTGTCCTAACATGTGGTCTGTCCTAGAAAATGTTCTATGTGCACTTGAGAAGAATGTATATTTTGCTGCTTTGGGGTAAAATGCTCTGAAAATATCTATTAAATCCATCTGTTCTAGTGTGTCTTTTAGGCCCATTGTTTCCTTGTTGAATCGTTGCCTGGAAGATCTGTCCATTGGTGTCAATTGGGTGTTAAATTCTCCTACTATGAGTGTATTACTATTGATCTCTCCTTTCATGTCAGTCAATAATTGCTTTATGTATAAGATGCTCCTGTGTTGGATGTGTATATGCTTACTAGGGTTATGTCTTCTTGATTTGTCGATCCCTTTATCATTATGTAATGGTCTTTTTTGTCTCTTACTATAGCCTTTGTTTTAAAGTCTATTTAAACTGATATGAGTTTTGCTACCCTGACTTTTTTTGTTTTCATTTCCATTTGCGTAAAATATCTTTTTCCATCTCTACTTTCAGTCTGTGAGTGTCGTTTGATTTGAAGTGGGTCTCTTGTAGACAGCATATGCATGGGTCTTGTTTTCTTATTCATTTGGTTACCTTATATATTTTGATTGGAGCATTTACTCTGTTTACATTTAAAGCGATTGCTGATAGGTACATTGTTACTGCCATTTTATTATTCATATTTGTTATTTCGATTTTCTTTTTTTACCCCTTCTCTTTTTACAGAAGACCCTTTAACATTTCTTATAATGCTGACTTATTGGTGATGAATTCCTTAACCTTTCTCCTGTCTGGGAAGCTCTTTATCTCACCTTCCATTTAATCCAAAGCCTTGCTGGGTAGAGTATTCATGGTTGTAGATTCTTGTTTTTTATAACTTTGAATATTTCTCACCAGTCCCTTCTGGCCTGCAAAGTTTCCATTGAAAAATCAGCAGCCATTCTTATGGAGGATACCCTTGTAAATAACTAGCTGACTTTCT